TCTAGCTCACCAACAGACAAAGTGAAAAACAGACCAAAAGGCTTTCCACTGAAATGTACTTTCTTCCAGAACAGTTGTGTATTAAAAACACAGCACATTTAAATTCTTTGGTCTAGGTCTCAGTCCCAAATTATTAAGGCTACAAGTATCAGTAATATCAAAGTAATCCCAAGGGCATGACTGTTTTCACTTGGAAACAATTCAGGTCCCCCCTTTGACAGCAGTGGGGACTGCAATCTGTAAATGACAATCTTGCCATACGGATAGCTAAGGGAAAGTGGCCCACCTGAAGAAGGTGCATGGGTCAGATCTGTCTATCCCACACCTTGAGGAACTGGGATTGGATGTCAAACAAGGGAGATGGGCTGGGAAGCTACTGATGTGCTTTCTCACACAGAACTAGGCTATCCCCAGTAGGGTGCCAGCAGCAACCCTTGCCTGTTTTGGTCAACAGAAGAGGACCTGCTTTTTCCTTTTCCTCTTTCCTTTTCCCCATAGGCTATCTCTAATTTTCCTAGGTAGGTAACACAGGAGTCCAATTTTCACATAGAAACTTTATGGTCTGCCCCACCTCCAGCCAGTGCAATTGTCTCCATTTGACATAAATTAAAGACCTAAGGACATGTTGTTAATGCACGTTTACTCTGCCTAGAGTTTCTTGGAGAAAATAAATAGCTTTCTGTGTTCTGATTTTGTACCAGTTTCTTTTAGCTGAGCTTGACATTGACAAAGGTCAGAGGATCTCCATCAAAGATGAGGAGCTCGCTTCACTGAGGAAAGCTGCTCAGTTTGACACCATCTGCAATGAGATTATCCCCAAGAGCATCACAGAGATCCGCAGGCTGAGTAGCATGCTGTCTTCCTACCCAAGGGTCCTCAAGAAAGAAGACTTTGAAAGGACAGTGCTGACCATGGTCTACACAGCCTACAGAGCTGCTCAGTCCCAGGGACACCAGAAAGACGTTTGGGCTCAATCCTTTGTCAGTCTTTACAAAGCCCTGAAGCACGACTTGATGTTCCCATACAACAAACAGCCATCATAGTGGGAGACTAGATGCAACAACAACTCAGCCACCTCTTTTGGTTGATAATGGACACATGTAGCACGTCCACCACTTTATTCTGTTAAGAGTTTAATAGCCCAGTTTGTGAAAGATTATTTGTTTTCTAGCTCCCTCTTGTGGAATCCACATTATAGTTCCATTTTAAATGGTGCAAAATATCCAGTCCTGAGAATTCAATTTTTGTGCTGGCTTGGAGGCATATTCTGGGACAAGCAAAGAAGTGAGTCTGGGATACACCCAGACAAACCCTTGCTTCATCCTTTGGGTTTCCTAAAAACAATACCTAAGTATACTATGCTTATGCTTACATCCCTATGTGTAAGTGCTGGAGAGTGTTGCTTTCCTACCTAGGGAAACAAGTTCATGTTTTGACTGGCCAGTAAAAGAATACTATAAATAGGTGCAAAGGCCCTCTGTAAAAGGAAGAGGTTTCATAACTCTCAGGCTTCAGAAATTATGCCATATATTATTCATTCCAAATGTTCTTGTAAATAAGCACTCTCTGATTCACTTCATTTGGCTGAGCCAGTTTTTAATTGCAATAACATTTGCAGAAGACAAAGGACTTTGTGAACACCAGCAGCAAACAAAGCCTCTGAACGTATTCCCTGCTTCCTAGAGCTGCCCTCCCAAACAGTCTGCAATTATTCTTTCATTATTTGCACATGGCTTTGCTTCTACTGCTTGTTTTTTTTTTTGAAAGGAATATATATTTGTTCTCAGTGGAATCAAAGGCAAGACAAAGGCCCTGTTTAATTTAATAAATGACACATTTTCCTGGTTCTCTCACTTGAACGTAGGTCATCTAAACCCATGCTTCAGAATCCCACTGAGGCAAGGGAGGAAGGTGCATTGAAACATACCTGGTGCTGAATTTAGCACTGTGGCTCGGTTTTGTTTTTTTTAATAGTAAATTGTGTATTCATTTGAGTATGCGTGTGTATGTGTATGTCTGTGTATGTTCATGCATGTGTGTGCACATAAGTGCTGAGTATGTAAAAGAATCCTAAATTGTTCAGTCAGGGAAAAATTGCATCTGACCATTTAGCAGAAATGCTATTTATCAATTCAGCGGTGTGAATTATGAGTTTGGGAACACCAAAAGCAAAAATTGTAGAAATAGTGCAACTGATTTTAATAAACTTCCAAACAAATCATGGACAGAAAATAGACAGAAAAATAACATATATGTTGTCAGACAGATGGCTAGTTATCAAAAATCCAAACTCTTCTAAATTGAATCGCCTAATTTTTGTGCAGAAGTGATACAAACTCTGTCTTTCAATTGAAATTAATGATGCTTCTACTTCCAGATCATGGGAAAACAGCTAAACATTTATTTCATCCTTTCATACCATCCTTCTCTATCTCTCTACTGGCATAATATTTTAAGGATACAGGCCCAAATCACAAATCCCTGAGGCTGTAGAAGAGACATGAAGATTCCAGCCCAAGTTCTGAATCACGTTTGACTGCTTTTGCATCCCTTGAGCAAAAAGAATTAATTCTACCGTGTCCCTTAACAGGCACACTTCAAGGACTGGAGCCAAAAAATATCTATCCAGCACCACCTTGTTGCAGCAAACAGCAAATAGCACAAGCAGTCAGAGCACACTGGGTTTGGCAATCACATGTGGGAAGATGGAACCACAGCAGCCTTAGGAGGGGCAGTCTGGCCATGGCATTAGCAGCTGGACAAAGGGCTTTTAAAAGACAGAGTCAACCTTGTTTCTCCCAGAAGTTTCTGTATTTGTGTGTATGGTTGTGCACGTCCGCATTTAGACTCACATATGTGTAGGTGCACTTTTATACCTGAAGAATTTTGTTGGCCGTCTTCAAAGTCTGTCTGGCATATGGCAAGGGAAACCAAAAACCTCAATCATAAAGCTACGGGCCACGAATATCTCCATCTTCTCTACTTGCACACACAGCCTGGTTCTCACAAAGCCGACTCGCACTACAGTCCTCATGCTCTTTAAGCCCTGAGCTTTAACACTGATCATCTGTTTGTGTTTTCTTCCCCCACCATGCTTTATAAACACATGGAGGGGAAATGGCTACTGCTTTTCCAGCTCTGCTTCTTGGCTCCCTGAAGCACCACTTGCCAGAAGAGCCTGGAACCAGGGCAATTTATAAATCCCTTACAGCCAATTACTCCAAGTCTGCAAAAATAATAAAAAAGAGAACTAAAGCAAATATTAATTGCTAGCAGTCACCATTCAGAGAAATGAATGGTGACCATACCCAGCCACGCTCCTCACCCTACAAAAGGACTGTCCAGCAGTCAGAGTTTACTCATCGTACAATATCCCATAGAAAAGAATTACAGATAATTTTTACATAGTAAGGTTACTGTACCTTACAAACTGGTAACCCGAAACCTTTATCTCTTCAATAGAAAATAAAGGTTTTATGAGTTTATTTCCCTCCTTCCTTTACTGTGTGTAATGTAAGAAAAAGATTTATTCCTTGGGAATGTACTTGGACTGCCCAGGTTAATTTAACAGAGACTCTCAATGTAATAATAAAAACATTCTACATTAAATACTTGCCTTTGCATTGTATTGATTTCAGCAACAGATTTACTATTTAGCAACTTCAGCTCGAGTAATTGTTTACCTTGGAATGTGAAACTCTTCATGGCAGCAACAGTAGAGTAGAGAAGAGGGAACAGCCCTTCCCTCTGTGGAGCAGGAGTTGGTAATAAAGAGGAACAAGAGTGCCTCCTTTTCCAGAGTTCTGGTGGGAAGGAGCACTCTGCCTTCAGGGCAGCTCTTTGGGCTTAGGGCAGTTCCCTCCCTCAGTATTCCTTAAGGTGCAGGAGTAGGTTGCCTGCTCCCAATCTTTTACATCTTATCTCTTCAGATTGAATCTTCTTTATAGGCCATTCTTCCCTCACAGGCTGGAAAACCATTGCCCCTAAATGGCACCTTTTATCCACCCTTTGACCTTACAGATCATAAAAATGTGAAATAAAGGTTAGATTTTTTTTCATTTAAAATAAAACTATTTTTAAATTTTTTAAGTATTTTAGATTTTTTTTGTCTCTCTGAAACAACCTATAAAACAGATATTTATTGCCTGGCTGCATTGGCCAACCCAAAATCTTCACATTAACTATATTTTTACTTCCAGAACTAGTCACTAAATTTGCCTGAAGGGTCTCAAAATTCTGTTGCTTGATGGAAGTTTCAAGGCATATAGAAGCATTTCACAGTCTGAGATACAATTACTAATTTCAGGAAGAATTCACCTTGCACATCAAACCCCTCTACACATCTGCCTTTGCTAGTTCTCCAGGAGTCATGGTCACAGAGGCATTACAATCCAGTCTGGGGAGTTCAGTTTGTTGTTGACTAGCAGAGGGTGGGGAGAGGATAGGCAAGCACCTTTTGGGGGCATGGAAATTCCTAGATTTGTGGCTTCCTATAAGATCCAGATCAAATGGAGGGATGTCTACAGATTGTGCATGTAACCAGCCAATGGATTCAGCCCTAAACCTATGGTACTTTTGACCCCATAAAAAACATTAATTACAGAAGTGCTGGAGAAATGTTTTTCCACTAGAAGACTAGAGTGGAAAGTCTAAAAATTTCCAATTTGATTTTGAATCCTCTGGTTACTTAGGCCACATTAATCAGTACAGAGATTGTGACATTCAAGGATCGCGATGGAAGAAACATGAAGACAAAAGATACTGTTTAGAAAACAATGATTGTTTATTTATTTATCATCAGTACCGAGACCTTGAAACAATAACAAACTGTTCAGCAACTTAGAAAAGGTCTTTTTGTATATTTGTGTGAATGTCAGAATGAGGAGGTTGTTGATGTTCTCAAATGTTCTGACTGGGTTTTGGACAAGGGGTGGAGCAACTTCTACCTTCTGCAGTCCTCATTGGTGCATTAGAGCTGCATGTAGCTTTTTAACAAATTTTTGTCTTGAGATCAAGTATAATCTGTGCTGGAATTGCTGCCCTTTGAATTCCAAGCTCAGGGCAAAAGTAGGGTAAAGGTAGATACAAAGCAGAAGCAAAGAAATAAAGTCTGAAGGAGCTGCAGATGGTTTTTTTGGTGTTGTTTTTTTTTTTTAAAGAAGGAATACCTGAACATTTACTTCTATGCACTGAACCATAAATTGTTGGGTTTAATAATTTTCCAGCAGAAAAGAAACTGTATTTGAGGCATTCAGACTATCAAACAGAAGGAAAAGGAGCAGCTCAAAACATATACTGCCTGGTTTATGAAAACAGGAGTCACATCTCTAGATGATGGAAGAAAAAAATTTTATAAAACATGGGAATAAGGATACAACACAGCTACAACTGTGAGTCTGAATTAAAAATAAAAATTGTCAAAAGATCACTATGTTCCAACTTGCAAACCTCTGCATGTTACGGTGTGATGATAATTTGGACGTGCTAGTGAGCCCTACATAAACTGAATATCTTTTTAATTGAAAACCTTTTCAAAACAAAAAATTGAAGAATAAATAAATTAAGAGAGGTATTCTAGGTGACTGTATGGGGATAGGAAAAGAGGTGGTGAGAGACCTTTTGGGGAAATTCAGGCACAGGTGAAGGAAAGTTGAAGTGGAGTGGAAGCTGGAGTATCTGAGGCTTGAAAGTTGGAAAAAGTGAAGGTGTGGAAGTCGGAGAATCTGAGGAACCGGAAAAGTATCTGAGGAGAAGAAAGCCACCAGAAAGTAGAAGAGTATGGCAGCGATGAAGGAGATTCTCCGATCCAGAAACCTCCTACTTGTTGTTCTCATTCCACTTCTGCTGCTTCCTCTGCCACTCATATACCCCAGCAGTGTAAGTACATTTTTAATTTTCTTTTTGGCAAAGCCTCTGAGTGCAGCAGTTAGTACTGCTGGATAAGTTTGCAGTGTGCAAAAACAAAGTCAAAGACCTAAAGAAGCATAGATCTTAGAAAAATCAAAGATTCAAATTTGAAGGACTGTGAGGGTCACTGAGAAGTCATCACAGTAAGAACCTAAGCTACCTTGAGTCACGTCACAAGCAGAGCTGAAGAGCCAGGTGAAGCTAGTAAAGCAATACTTTAAAGCAAAAATATCGTATCTCTTCATTTTCTAAAATAATGTCTATGTAGAAGGGGGAACAGAAGAAACATATCCATTAAATTTTCTTTCAGAAGACGTCTTTAAAAGGAATACTTATAGTATTCCTTTATTACAAAACTCTTTAATTTTTAAATAATAAGTATGCATGGAAGGACTTTCAATTTAATGTGGTTTTGTAAGGTGGCAATTCAGGTGAGGCAGGGGCTAGGACACAGTGACAGACATGTAGGACCCTACATGGCATTGACTACTCCAGAGCAGGTGTAGGTATCTCTGCAGCTCTGACAGTGGTTAATAAATGCTGCCTCAGAGACATAGACAGCAATGCAAAGGAGGGAATAGTCTGTGCTTAACACTCAGACCAGAGAATGAGAATGAATTCAGCAGTGTTCCTGACACTGCTTTGGACCTACTGAATACCTTTGACTGCACGGTGAACTCCTCTCTATGCACGTCTCTGCCCTTGTAACCGATAAAATATCAATGATTTCCTACCTTATGCAGATGGTGATATTTAACTTATCAAAATTTGCAATGTATTAAAAATTCTGCAGCTTGTCCTTCTACATAGTCCTAGACATAAATCTGGCCAAATGGTGCAGCAATTTCCATTCTGTCTTCTACACTGCTAAAGATTAATTCTTCCTTACAGTATCAGAGGATTTTTCCATACTACTGCTTTATCAAATCAAAATGCATGGGATTAGAAATTATGTGGCTGTTTTCAAAAATAAAACAGCCATTTTTTTTGAAAGAAATCCAGGATTCATAAAAAGGAAATGTTCCTACACCACTGAACTGTATGTTGCACCTAGAGTTTTCCTGCTCTGAACTTCAGGGTATATCTTGGCTGTTCTCTCATAGTAGTTTTTCACCTCTTCTATCTCCAGAGAGGCAATGAATGACAGACAATTGTGGTCTTCTTCAGAGAACAGAAGGACTCACCCTTTCACAGAGTCTTGTTTTACAAAGTGGCTTTATCTCCCCCCATGTCACTGGAAGTGTGACATAAAAAGATATACTCCCTGACATGCTCATATGGCACTGTAACTGCAGCATGCTCTATGTCCCTTGAGACCCTTCCCTAGGAAACATGACACTCACTGCACTAAAATTTGTCACTCTTGTTTGCTCCTTACTGGATTCAGAGGCATAGGATACAGTAAAGAGGCTTTAATAACCAAGGGAATTGTAATAGCACCAAATGGGTGCTGAAGCAGAAGTTCATAAGAAAGTATTGCTGCAAGAATTATGATTATAAAGTACAAGCCCTTGTGACATTGCTTTACTGCAAAGTGACATGAAAATCCATCAGGTGATGCTTTACATCCACTTTGTATATATGTGAATGACCACAGATGGTAAAGTACAGCTGAGAATCTGACCGAGTGTTGGATAGATGTTTATAGCACTCTTAAGAAAACATCTTCACCAAATAAACTCAGCTGACAGTACTCTATTCAAGTGATTTTGTGTAGAATTTACTTTGCTACAACCCATTGATTATGATTACTTCTTAAACCTGAAGATTAAATTTTATGCCTGCTCACTTATTTATATTTTTATTTATCAGAGAAGTATACTAGCTTTCTGTCTTTCTTATAGAGATCAGAATTACCAGGTCACTTATATTTGCATTTCTGCAGGGAATCAGCATGCAATTTCTTTGATGATATCAGCACATCTCTGGAAACGTCAAAGGAGCATTACATGTGTAGTGGCAAGAGTGATCAAAGGGAGCACAAGGATTCAGAACTGTTTGTAGATATGGCTAATGGGAATAAAGTCCACAGCTTGTTTTCTATTATTTTGTGACAAAAAATGGTTGGGTAAAAATAAACTTGGGATAATTTGTTTGCATTCTTTTTCCCATTCCAGAGTTGTAGCTGAACTTGTACCGCTAGTTTGAATGCACATAAGTGCCTTTCAGGTCCGACACATTTAGGAAAAAACCATGCCTGCATGCAAGATATGCAATGCACACTTTCAAGTGGACCAATTTCCAACACAGAGTTTATTCTTCCTTTTAGTCACTCTGAGATCCTTGTATATTTTAGTATATGAAAGTTTTATGCATGACCCTTAGTATGGATGTTTTAGCCATGACTTCCTTACAGTTCCACTTTTCTTCTCACCTAAGGGACTGACTGAAGGTAGATAATTAGATGATAGTCCCTCCAATGATCACATGTTTTCCTATTACCTGTTTCAAGCCCTGAGATGGGCTTAACAGTAATCTTCAGCTGTAAAACTACAAGTGAGAGCAGTGAAACAGTTAAAATTACACTGCCACTATTTCAGTCTAGTACTTAGTTGCTCTGGTAACCATTAATTAAATATATAAATTCAGTTCAATTAAATAGAAGAGATTAATATGGTTTCTCTTGGAAACAAGCTGGTTTAAAGCACTGAGAAAATAAATAAAGAAAGTTGCTAGACAAGCTGATTAAGTTTTTAGTGGAGATTATCAAGTTTGGCTTTCCTAGTACTTGTAAAACAGTTTTATACCATTTAAAAATGAGCTTTATTTTAGGTTGTTTTATTTTTGTAAAATGATTACAGCCTTGTGTATAAGAAACACAAGGACTCAGTGCCTATCCCAGTTAGGTTTTGGTAGAGATGCAATTACCCTTTGTCCTATTCCATCCTCACTATCAGCCTACTTTTTTGCCAAATACAGAATAGTAATAGAATATAACAAAAATCAATGCTTAGAGAAATTAAAGAGAAGTATATTCTTGGAGTGAGAAAATGGTTTGGATTCAGGTTAGGATAAAATTAATTTTATTAATTTTGGAAAACATATTCCTTGTAACTTACATGTGCACTTCTTTAAAACAAAAATCAGTACTTTTTCATTAAAAGTTATTCTTCTCCTTAGACAACTGCTGGATGTCATACAGAGCCCACACAAACACAGTAGTTTTTGCAGCAGAAATTTTAAAAATTAAATAGTCAGTAGGTCACAAAAATCATCCTATGTTCTGCTCTCTGTGGAATATTAATCATGAAGTATAATATAGTTAAAGGTGACTAAGCAGCAAGTTGGCTAATGTTTATGAGCCAATCCATCAGCTCCATGACTCATCTTGTCTTCCTAGTAGAGATTACCAAAAATCTCTAATGCCTATCATTCACTTGTTAAACTTCCATTTTTAAGTCAAAATTATTTCTTTGGGATTTTTTACAAAGTGGCCACTTGAAATTACTAGAAACTGAAGACCAAACTTTGGAGTTTCAAACAGCATAGCAATTACATTTTATAAAATAATCATAATCCATGAATATTAACAAAAGCCCTCTGACCTCATCCATTCCAATCCAACCTTCTCTAGTTTCTCTTAGAATTTTTTCTTGGAAGCAATGAAGGTACAACTGCAAGACAATCTTTTCTTGTAATGTACTGCTGAAGGACCTCACCAGAAGACTAGTGAAACCTGTACTGCAGAGCTTAAAGCCTAAACCACTCTTCTAGGATAGTTAAGGAAGAGAAACAAATATGCACATTTCTGTGTAGTTCTCAGTACTTATCCATCCATAAAGGAACAATCCAGAGATAAATTTCTCCAATAGCCTTTCAGATACCCTTTATAATCTCCAAAGTAATTAGAGTTTATCTGCTTCAAGGAAGTTGTTTTCTTATAAACTTATTTCAGTTATTTTAGCGGCCCTGCTTAATAGAATCATGGAATCATTAAGGCAGGAAATTCCTCTAAGGCCGTTGAGTCAAACCATTAACTCAGCACTGCCATGTTCACCCCTAAACCATATTCCCAAGGGCCACATCCACACACACTTTGAAAGGTTCCAGGGATGGTGGATCTACCACCTCCCCGAGCAGTCTATTCCAATGCCCGGCCACCCAACCAGTGAAGAAATTTTCCCTAATATCCAATATAAACTTACCCTGGCTTACATGAATTACAACTGTTTAATGTCACACTTTTCTAAAATAAGAATCAGAGCGAGATCTGGCAGCTAATTTAAACACAAGCTTCTGAGCAACCTTGGCTGAAATCCTTATGCAAATAAAGGAAATATTACAAATCAATATATATTCTTCTCTGGTCTCCATTCTGCCTGTTATTACTATAAGATGTACTAAAAAAAAAGAGACGAACAACTGATTGTGGCTCTTTGTTAGAGGTAATGTAAAAGTGACATGTATAAACATGAATTTAATTACAAGCTATTGATTCCACTGAACCCACATCCCTGTATAATTTCACTAGACTTTCCCACCCTGTTCACAAAAGTGATTGAAAAAAAATGAAGTGTGTGTTAACTGATTGAAAAAAAATGAATGCTCATTGATTTACACAAGGATCTGTGAGACTTGCTTGTATGACTTCTTGAAAGCTGCTTTATTTAGAAGTCATCCAGTCAGGAAATGAAAGTAATGGAATTATATTTTAAGACATTCAAATAGCATTTGTGAAGAGTGAATTTTCTAAACAATAGCCATTTGTGAGCTGTGAATCCGTATGACTCAATAAGTTCATATGGAACATCCAGTGCATAATGAAGAACAGATGGATTCATAGATGTTGTAAATCAGTGCAGACCTACCGGCTTCTATAGAACAGCAGGTTAGCCCCAGTACAGGAGCTGGATTCAATATTGAGAAAACAAAAGGAAAAACCTTTTCCTGAGAGTAGTTTCTGTAATTATTACCAAGAGATATCCCTGGATTTCTAAGTATAGCAAACTGAGCCTAAGGAGAACTCAAATAAGTGCCATAAATAAAGACATATCTAGTTGAGAAATGGACCAGAAGAATTCGATGGACTAGTTGTGTTTTTCTGTAAAAATATTCAGCAGGTAGCACCTTTCTCCATCATATCCCAGCTCTCCATGAGTGCTCAGCATGATGTTGTCATGATTTTTTCTACCAGAACCTTGGACAGCAGCAAATTTATTTGAATAGCTCCATTAACCCATTGCCTCTAAGCCTGCAGGTCTGTGGTCTTCTTCCGAGGGCCTGTGTAAATTACCTGAGCAAATAAAATCAGCTAACAAAAATGTTTGCGCCTTGTTTAAAAATAAAAGTAAATTCCTGAACATTTCCCAAAATAACTACAAATTCACACAAATGTGAATGTTCGCATCTGGTCCTGAAAACCACCAGTTCCTGTCCTTGTCCAGTATTGGAGAGAAAAACATGCAGAAATAACATGTCCACAGGTCCAATCTGAGGAGTCATGGTTGAATGCTTGGCAAATATTGGATTATGGAAATCAAACAAATTTTTAAATGAGCTTGAAACCATTATTTTGCTGATAAGTAGGCTTATCACAATGTTTTGCCCTGGCTTAGGTGTGAAAACTTTCATTAGCATCATCCTCTAAAACTGATCTTTCAGATGGTAATCTAGATTTCACACTCAAACAGCTGCACTTTAGGAGGTCCTAATACAGTCCTTTCTGATTTTTTTTTTAAATCCAGGCATCTGCAGTCTGATGAATCCTACAAACAAGTTCACAAAGCCTCCACAGTTGCTGGTGGGGCAGTAACATGTAACCTCTGTGCTCTGTCCCTGCAGGAAGCCTCATGTGCCTACGTGCTGATTGTGACAGCCGTATACTGGGTCTCTGAAGCAGTACCTCTTGGTGCAGCAGCCTTAGTTCCTGCTTTCCTGTATCCACTTTTTGGAGTCATGAAGTCCAGTGAGGTCAGACCATTGTAAACTTTTTATTATCTGATGTTCTTACTCTCAGTTAATTATTTGAATAAGACTAATCTTAGTGCAGTAGCAAGACTTAGAGGTATGGGAGGAAGAAGTGTACATCTTGTAATGTGTAACTCGGTCTGAACAGCTCTTTCTTCTACTGAAGATAGATATAGGATATAATATAGACTATATTAGGCAGGAAGGATGTCCATCCTTTCAGCTACTGCAGCATCAACAATTCCCAAAACACATTGCATCAAAGGATCCCACCTTCAAAACCATATAAAGAGCAGCATGGGATACACTGTGAAGTTTCCTTCCAGTTACATTTGTTATAGAAGATATATAAGGCAAGAGGCTACATATGCTAAAAGTAGTTACCATTTAATGTAAAAGTCTAGATAATTTTGTTGTCTGGGTGAATGTTTAATCCTTTTTCGAAGCTGTGACCTAGTGCTGCATTGTAGCCATGAGTTCTTAGGCAAAGGAGTAGCTGTACAGAAAAGTCTATATGATCAGTTTTGAATATGCTTACCTCAGCGTTTTCTTGAATGTTACTTTCTTTCATGATATGCCAAGAATTTATTTTATTTCATCTACAACTTTTTTTCCCCTGCTTTTTTCTCTCTCTTTTTTTGGGAGGGTAAGGGAGCCTCGCACTTGATTAAAGGACTAGAAATACAGATAAGGACACAGAAGAATACATAGCAACCATAAATTTGTTGAATTTCTATCACAATATAGCACTGGGAATACCGATAAATGGATAGAGAAAAGCATGAACCAAAAATTTTATGACCTGTCTTATTTCTCCCAGTGATGTAATATAATCAGATACATTTCCATACTAACACAATTCAGTAGTTTCCAAGGTTTTTTCCTATCATAAAGGCAAAATAGTTAGGCATTTTCATTAAAAACTTGGAAGCACATTGAAAAGGAAAATTTATTGGCAGCCCGACAGAAATTCAATGTAATATCAAATAAAATGACAGTGGAACTACTGCAGGGAAAATATTATTTGCTTTAGGAACAGAAATAAACCCCTATATTTAAAAAATAAACAACTCTGATGATGCAGCAGTATTTCCAGTCTACTGTTCTAGTGTGACCCAGGGCTCTTACCTAGCACTTTAAGCTACAGATAACTCACAGGGACTTAAGAACATGAGTGTCATATATATGTATGTGGGTATTAACAACTCTATTAACATTCACTGGTTTCGCCAAAATGACTGTGAAAGGAATAAAGGAGAACAAGAGATTCTTTGTTCTGCTGGCTTGATGGATTTCTTTCATTCACCTCAAGATCTTTTTATAACAAGGTAGCAGGAAAATAAAGAAAGTTAATGAGGAAAAAAAACAGTGGAAGAAAATGTGATATTTAAAAGTTCTGGTGCACAACTATGTTGGCCAAGTCTATTTAGGTCACTATGGGGATTTATTAAATAAATGTAATTAAATACATAACTTGTTTCAGATTTCACAGAATAACATTAGTGACATTCTTGCACTTTTATGGAGGAGTGTCAATATTACTGAGGATAGTGGAAAAACTATTGCTTCCTCTGATCTTAAATGCTTTAAAATATTGGCACCTACATTTTGTTAGAAGAATAGTTTTAAACTGAATAAATTATGGTTTTGGAAAAATATTCCAGCAACAGCTTAAGAAGGATTGCATCAGGATGAAATGAAAAATTTAGCTAGGCTCCAAGTACCTGTTTGTATCTTTTATTTTCTCCCATTTTGATGGTTTTAGCTTACCCTCTTTAAATTGAATTCTGTTTCTGGGAACTTTTCCCTATTTTCCTGATAAAATGGAGATAGGTTTCCAATGTGAAAAGTTTTGGCACAGGATTTGTGCATCACCACTGCAATATAAAAACCTTTCTTAGCTGCATTCAAAGAGCATGTCCCACAGGACTCTTTTTCTGAAGCTGCAGGTTCTAGGGATGCCACATTTCACCCAAAAGTTGAACAAGACAGAATAAATATAAACAAGATAGATAATGACAGTTTCAGAATGAAAAAGCAGTTGAAGTACATGAATAAGCTGCCTTCCATGCAGAGTTTTGTCTGTGTTTTTTTCCATGTGAGCCTAGCTGAGTATGACAGATTGACTGCAGGCACTGAACATCCTGCTCAAAAAAGTAACATTTCTCTTGATCTCTTCAAAACTGAGAAGCCTACAAACAATTGGGTATGGAGCCTTGTTATTCATAAACACAACATGAAACAGATTAAAGAGTATATTTTGACTTATGAATTCTTCATGTTCTCCAGCTCCCTGTCATTCTCCAGCTCCCCACTCTCTGGGGAGCAAAAACATGCGACACCACATTACTTCTCATTCAGCGCGCTTTCTGCGTAGGGCAGTTACCGCTTTTTTAACTGACTGCTTCCCCCTGGCCCTTAATGCAGGTGGCTGCTGAATATTTCAAGAACACGACTTTGCTCCTCATGGGTGTGATTTGTGTGGCAGCTTCTGTAGAAAAGTGGAATCTCCACAAGCGAATTGCCCTGCGCATGGTCATGATGGCTGGAGCCAAGCCAGGCATGTGAGTGAACCTTTAACTTCGGGGTAATCTGAGCCTGACAGCAGCAGCTCGAAACAACTCTGATTTTCCCATCCATGGGCACCAAATAACTTGGTTTGGGGGTCTTTTTCATATCTGTCTTTCCTTTCAGAGTTTGAAAGCTTACAAATCTTCTCATCTTCCTTCTGCCACCTCTAACTCCTTGGATTTCCCTGTGTTGCACACCAGGTTGCTTCTCTGCTTTATGTGTTGCACCACGGTGCTCTCCATGTGGCTTTCCAACACATCCACCACAGCCATGGTGATGCCAATTGTGGAGGCAGTGCTCCAGGAGCTAGTGAATGCTGAGGAGGAGTGTGAGGTCATCAGTACTGCAGGCAGCACCATTACTGAAGAAAAGAAGCCAATAGGTATTTGTCAATATTGGTCATTCTTTGCTCATTTGATTAGCAGTGACCAGGCTTGTTGATACATATTATTCAAATTCTATCAAGGTCAGATCTGTCTGACTTGTACTGTCAAAGACACTGATCTGTACTCTTTCCTTTTGTACTCTGATATTCCTTTCAAAAAATGAAAGTTTTAAGATGAGATGGAAGAATTGGAGTTGCAAAACTATTTATACTGAATTAAGGCATCTACTGGAGCTTGTGTGTCATAAACTTTTAGGTCATGTGATTTTACAGGGTTGGAAGGAAACCCATGAGAATAAAGTTCAGGAAATTTAGAAGAGTCCCAAAAGTGTGCTCTTTGTCAATCCCAAAACAAAAAATTGATAAGGGCTCTAAGGTTCATTTTGTTCATTCCTTCCCAGAAACAAAGGATTTAGGAAGAAAAAAAAAAAATCTCTCCTTTCTGTCAGTTTACGGCTTCCAGGCTGAAAATTATTTCATCCAATCTTGTCTACTATATGTAGGCATGATAGTCTTGTAATTGCCAGAGGCACATGATCAGTACAATACAAAATAATAAAATGCTGCATAAAGAGAGCATTGGAGACAGTTTGGACAAGCTTTTGTTTGCAGCAGCCTCTCCAGGTCCAGTGGTGTGACCGAGGAGGTCAGCTCAGTTCTTATCCCAAGGGCTGCTTTCTCTTCCTTTGTTGCAGGTCTCAGCGAAAAGCATGGCCAACCTTCACTGGAGCTTATCTTCATCAATGAGGAGTAAGAATGAACCCTGTACATCAGGACTGGAGATTTGAGCCCTACACAGGTTGCAATGAGAGGAACCCAGGAGTAGAGCCAGGAAGGGCAAGCGGAAGCTTTCAAGTGAATGTTTCACGTGTGACTGACAAGGAAAGCTTACATGATAAATGGGAATAATGTAATGGTCTGGATCTCACTAAAGCTTTGCAGTATTCATTAATTTTTTTTTACACCATGAACATTTTAGGGAGAAGGAAAACATTTCTCAGGATTTGAAAGCTCTTTTGAAGTCTGTGTTTGTGCTATGTAAGAGAGTGCTGTCCACAGACTTTTATTTCTGTTCCCCTTAACAAATAGAGATGGAGAGGATTCAAGTACATATGGAGTGCCCACAGGACATATCCAGAGGGAAATCACTTACAAAGCATTCCTGAAGAAAGTCTGAACTGTCCTCATTTAAGAGAGAGATGAGAGTGGGACGGGAGGGAGGTGGGGGGATGGCGGGAGGGAGAACCAACAGAAAAACATCCCTCCTCCCCAAAAAATTTGTAAAAGATTTCTTTAAATATAGACAAATTTCTTCGGAGGTTTCAAACACTAACAGTTTCAACCAGGTCTCTATTTGAGGTAGAATCTAGTAAGATGAAAAGGGTAAATCAAGCAATGGACTAATTTCTTTGCCAAATTATCAAATTAACCATCAGTTCAAGATACACAAGGGAATACACAAAGCTAATGTCCTAGAACTGTATTATAGGCTAAATCCTGAGGACCATCTTCTTATGAAGCTCCCTTCTGGAGCTCCTTCTATATTGTTCCCAGCTGTTCGTAATAAAAGAGAAGCAAGTTCTTTTACTTTAAATTTTAATTTACTTTAAAACAAATATTATAATTCAAACAGCATAGGTTGAATACTTTAAGTTAACTTGTAAGATCTAAATATTTATCTCGTTAGTCTAGAGACTATTGGGTTCTCCAGTATTCCCTCTGTTATCTCTTTTATATCCCAGCCACATTTTCTTTACAATGTAGAACCAAATTTTCAGTTTGGCATTGTGCCATTAGTCCCTTTAAGCCCTGTTGAAGAGCACATGTCGAATATTTCATACAGAACCATTGTTAAAACAGTATTACTTGAAAAAGAGCTTGAAATTTGGCAGGAAAAGTAGCACATCTTCTGGAATTAAATTCATTGGGTTGTTTGCATGGTCCACACGCTGAAAAGTTGGCAGAGGAAGATCTTGACTAGAATAGACAGCAGTAGTGCTGGATTGTATGGTGATTAACTCCACTGTGAATGGAGTCCTCTCCTAGAATGGGGTATATACTACAAAGAACACAAATATTTTCTTGCATGGAGGTGGAACCCCATTGCTACACAGCTAGAGGTAGAGCTGTGAAACATAATGATGACTCTGACATTATCTGGTCAAGAGACCACATAAGAGGTTCTAATAAACAGTATTCACCATTAAACAGGCACTAGTTCTCCTGCAGAGGTTGCCCCTCCTAGCCATGATGTATGCCTTTTGAAGGAGCTGGGTGAACAGGCATTTATAAAGTATATTTTCCTTTCTTTGTTTTTAGTGCTACTACTACTGACTTCAGCTCCTTGATGCACTCAAAGGTATTGTGATAGGTAGTATCTTCTGAGCTACATTGTCTTCTAATGCAGGAACCATCAGAGTAGAATCCACACAACTCTGAAAAAACCTGCTGTTTCCTTTATTTCAAATAAGTGGTGGTTGTTGGCAGAGAGTACAAATTGCAGAACGTCCTGCTTTGTATGTTACCTATCAGCCTGCTTGCACTAATCAAGTTAGGGAACATTAACTCTGTAATAATAACAACATAAGTACATGAAAATGTAAGTTTGTTGTACTTATTGCTGGAGATCCTGAGATCCAGTCAGTAAAATAACAATTCCATATGTTTTCTAACAAATTCAAATATGATCTTTTATTGTTCAGGTGTTTCTAACTTCATCAGCTGAGACATCTGTAGAACAGACTACACATATCAGAAAGTCATAAACTCTAGAAAGGGACTTGTTAGATTCTCCTACATGACAGAGGAAGAAGACCCAATCTCATTATAATCTGACTTTAAGATAATTTTAAAATAAAAAAAGTTTTGGGTTTTTTTTAACTTTTTTTTCTTTTCCAGCATAAAATTTACAGCTGATCTTTTAGTGGGTTGGATTTTGTTGTTGTAGTTTCGAATTATTTTTTTTTTCTCCAAAGCCCATGACCTTTAGGAAGCATCATAAATTCTTTTCTAAGTGCCCCATGGAACATAAAGGGCAGAAAGGCTAATCCAAAGGTATTTGTCTCCTTACAGAGTATGAATGGTGTGCACATGATAGCCAACCCTATTGGAACAATGAATTCTCAGAGCAATGGGCAGCACCTACCCCAGGTAAGGCAGTGTTAGACCTGGGGCGTGAGGCAAAAATCAGATGTGACTGTCTCCTGCTCCTCACTGTTTCATATTTATTCCTTGTAAGTTGTGTTACATGGAATCATTCTCCATCATCTTTCCTCAGCCCTGGCTTGGCCCTTTGCTAGTTCTTGCTCCCATTTAGATGTGCCCAGCACAGGTATGTTCAGAAGACTCTCCCCCAATAGCTGGGACAATTAATTTAGCTTTACATTCAGTTATGTGATCCCGAGTTTCCCTTATTATTTGACTGTACTAGCCACTTTGTTTCTGCAAATCATCCTTGAAAAATAGCCCAACTCAAAAATAATAATCTCTGACACATAAAATTCTACTCAGAACAAAAACAGCAGCAGGCATGGACCATTAATCTGTTCAGCCAGTTTGTTGGTAGTCTTAGTATCCACCTCCTTTTTGTCTTCCAATAGATTCACCCTCAAAATCCTTCATTAAATCAGTCCATTACAGTATTTCTACTTCTCTTGAGTGGATCCAAGAAGAGATTGCTGTTTGGATGCCAATTTGTATCTTAATCTTATCAGTATCTTAATGGCATAAATTGATGTCCATGAATGAATAGGCTAAAATCAACACATGGATTTTCATTCACAGTTCAAAAGAATCTAAATGTATGTTTCCAAAAGAGACTAATGCACTGGTCCCAATATTTAATTTTCTCTTACACCCATATTAATAAGCATTCAATGGTTATTTTTAACTAATATACTCACTTCACTCTTAACCTGCAGGATTTTAGTCATTTTTATCCTTGTGATGAGGATGAGCCTATAGCATGACTGATTTTTCTAGATAAGCCAAAATAAAAATTTATCTGAATCACTTTCTACCTTTTCCCTCATCCTTAAATTACAGTCCTGGCTTGCATGTGAGGTGCCTTGAAGTACTGTACCTTTCTTCCCGGTGCAACAACTTGATTTACCAACATAGTTTCCTGTCACTGATGAAACAGCTTTTTCTGGAGCAAAATTTTTTGGCTTCTTTTTCTTCCACATTCTCATTACCCAGCTTTTTTCATGCCATTGAAACCCCTAGCACTCCATTCATAATTAGAAACCCTGAGCTTGTAAGTGCAAAAAGTTCACCAAGCCTTTGTCTGGTGGCTCCTCATAAGCCTCAAGGATTATGGATTCCTACTCCTGCAGTGCTGGCATCCCATTCCTGCAGCCTTTAAAGGCTTTTTGTATCCCACTGATATTCCAGTCAGAGCTGGAGTTGGCCCAAACCTTAGCCAGAAGTCCGATTACTGTTTGTCCTACATTTCTGCCACAGACCAGGCAATTTCAGGCCCCTGGACATGTTTCCAGGTCTGATCCCACCTAATCCTTGTGAAGAAAAACCTGCCTTCTCTTATACAAACCTGTTGTTTCTCTGGGGTCTGTATCATTATGGCATTAGCACAAGTTGTGCTGCTGCTCTGATCATCTACTATCTTTGGTGAATGTATCCCCTCACAGACTCAGATACTGGTCCTGCCTCCTGAGCCCTCAGATCTAGGCCTGACTGCTAAGTACCGGTATCAAACCAGACATGACCACATGGTCTGTAAATGCCTCTCACTGAGCATCTCCTACGCAGCAACCATTGGAGGACTGACAACCATCATAGGGACCTCCACCAGCCTCATATTCTTGGAGCACTTCAGCAAGTAAGTGATACTGTGATTTCGTGAGAATGGTGGGTGAGTCATTATCATCTCTGTGGCTTTCCCCGTACCTCAAGGAACCCTCATAAGACAGTCTCTCTGAAGGAAAATTTGCTACTTCCTCTACTGTAATGCTATTACTAATGGTTAATGTTTGAAAGGGGAAGTTTGACTTAACAGATATCCATGTCTTTCTCCCATGCAAAATAAAAATCCCTCAGCATGTGTAACATTTAAGTTTTTCCTTCAACTTCTTTTGATTTGACAAACTGATTATCATGAAGGCAGCAGGCACTCTGGAAAAGTAAACACTAAAGCCATGAAGACGTAGCAAGGAAGATAAAGAAATACTCACAAAAGAAGAAATGTCATATAATCAGCTTTGAGTTGTTCTCTGGGTTCTCAGAGAGTGAGTTCTTACAGTGATTCTAAAGGCATCACTAGTGGTACTTGCGCTGCTCAACACATAGTGCAAAACTAAACTAACTTAGAAATTTGGCCTTATGCATTTGCTTCAGAGAAGATGGGAAGCAGCTCTCTGAATATCTAAGTATTTCCTTTATCATATGCCCAGGACTCTGGGCATGAATGTTTCAATGTCAGAAACATGAATGTTTTTCTGTCTGAAGATTGGTGGTACTTCTATCCATGGACCAATCTGATCAGACCTGATTCTGATCATCTGCTACTGCCTCTACTGCCGTGATATCCTTCATTTCTCTCTCTGAAATGGTGGTAGCAAAGTTCAGAAGTCATGCTTAATGCAAGGATTTGGATTTTACAGAATTTCCAAAGATCTTACTTTTATGACAGTTGCATCAAATACACACATCAAACATCTTTGCCAGAGCCCAGCATAATGCAGTCACCATTTGTGTGGTCTATGATGGGACATACACAGAGATTCTGGGTGTAATCATTCTAAAGTCTGCCAACACTAAAATGAGCTTTGATATGAACCATAGGTAGGGGCAGAATTTCACTGCTGGTAGTAGTACTAGACAATCCAGACCATCTGGTACTAAAGGTTTGAAGTGCTCTATGGCTCATCTGTTGATCAGGGGAGGTCAGTGATTGACAATTTTTGGCAATTGGTTCCGCTATGCATATGTAATGCAGCTGTTGCAAATGCATACTGATGGAATCTTTCTATCATGCCATGACAAATACAGATACATATTTATGTATGTGTAACTATGCACATTAGAGATTCTAACTTCTTATGCATCTTCTTTTTTTCTCTACAGTCAATACCCAAATGCTGAAGTGGTGAATTTTGGAACCTGGTTTTTGTTCAGTTTCCCCATCTCCCTCATCATGTTGGTGCTGACTTGGTTCTGGATGCATTGGCTGTTCTTGGGTTGCAAGTGAGTGAAGTTTGTTCAAGATGCAAGCACTATGAAAGCGGGACATCTGCACCTCCTCTAGAACATATCTCATAAAGTTGCTTTGACTGGCAAATGACAAAATTTAAGGCTCAATTTCCTTCTTCTTGCCAGAACAATTACCAGAGGAAATCTTACTGCTTAGCTGTGCTGCTTAGACAGCAGTGTACAGTATTGCTGCTTGAGAGTGAAGCGCCCAGGTACTGCTGATAGAAATCCTTATCAATCATTCTGGTGGCTTTTTTTTACTCTTATGACAATGAGGATTCCCTTGTGGACCAAAAATCTTGTTAAGAGTCCTTTTGGAAAAGCACAGCTTAAAAGATGGATAGAAAATCAACTGCAATTGAGCAAGCTACTTTTCAGATCTGTCCCCAGATCAATGAAATTAATGTAAGACCAGTTTAAATTAAATGTAAATATACTCCATATGTGTTTCTCTTTAAAGCGGAAAGGACTCACAGCCTAAGAGACAAAAACGTTTAATACTGGTAAGTCCCTAAGCCCCAGAAGAAGAAAAAGGCTCAGTCATCTAGTTCGTTTGTACCATGCATTGTCTTTACAGAGGTACTCAGCAAAGTTAATGAAAATTGCCTAAATGTGTGCATTTAAAGTGGATTAGTTAATCAGCATTAAATTGCGATACAGACACACTTACTCAGAATTAAAGCGACCTTAATTTGATTTAGCTTACTCTCAAAAGTAAACTGAACTGACATCACTATTTCACCTAAGACAATGAATAAATTGATAATGACTTCTGCTTGTTGCTGACCTTGACTAGATTTGAAGAAGTAATTTAGAGGTGAATGGCTCCATGCCCCTTTCAGTCAGTCTCCTGAGTCTTGTAGCTCCAAATTAAAAGGCTAATAATAGTCCCACCCCCTTTTTTAATCTTGAGGAGAAACAGGCCCTAACATGACCCTGAATTACTTTAGTTTTTTTTAAAAAAAGTATAATTGAAATTCCACATTGCATCCAAGACCTCATGCTGATTAATGTTGTTCTAAATAATACCAGAGACTGAAGTATTATCGACTTTTTGAGAAGTACTAGTTGATTCCAAGCCTCCTTAATCTCTGACTGCTATTCACTGCAGTTCATTAAAGAACATATTATGTTAGGAGCTGGGCTACAATACTCTGCCTTCACATCCTCCTAAGCCTGGAAACATGTTGAAACAGCTGCCTAATGCTTGTGCATAAATGTTTAATCAATTCCTGTAATTTTCATGTTATTTTCCTAGGAAGCTCAGTGTTATCAATCTTACTTGGTCCAGCTGGAAAAACATGTCAGACTTGCTTTTAAAGATCTAGGCTAGGTCAAAAGTGAAAGATAATGGACCAATCAAGTGATTTTTACCAACAAAGCAGAGCTAAGGGTAAAATCATTACTATACAACTGGCCACTATAAACCAGCTCTTCTCTTTCAGTCACTGCATTACTGCTGATGGATTTTACTGAAGTCTAACAGCAAGATTTGCAAGGAAATTTAAAGTACTTATAGGTGCAGGGCAGTGCTAATTGAGCTTAAAAAAAGTGCCCATGTGAAACAAAAACCTTGGTTAAGTCATTTTATTAAACAGACAGGGCCTGTCTGGAGCTTGAGCTATGCAAATTCTTTTGAGAATCTGGCCTTAACCAGATATGTGGAGAGAGATTGTAGTCCATGATTTGGCCACTGCTATGGCTTGGGTCTCTAGTGGGGTACCAAATAAGATATTAAAATAGCACAAACTATTAAAGCACCTATTAAGCATCTAAAAGAATTATAAAAGTTGTGTTCCCATGGTACTTCAGACACTGAAGTCCCTACTGCTGCTGTTTCTTTTAGACTGGTTTAGACCGCCCACACTTCTGTGTGACCAAAGATTTATGGCTCAAAGCACAGCTAAGTAATGCTATTGGAATGAATAAAAGGACAGTGTTAAAGTGAGCTTGCAAGTATCTTAATTTCAATTAGGAATGTCCATGCTTTGTTATAGGATGAAGGCAAACTGAATAAACTAACATTCATACAAACGTATAGCAGGATGAATATATCCAGCTGTGAAATGTGTTTGTGTTTTTATGTCTCTGTCAGAACTACAGGTGTGTCTTACCAGGAGAAAACACCAGTCTGACTGCCTTAGCCTCTGTGGCAGAGGCAATGTAATCCTTATCTGGCTGTGCCTGGTTTAGAAACAGCTAGTATTAGCAGAAGCAGACAGGTCAGGGAAGGTAATGGGATCCTAAGCACAGCTTTCCCTCATTATTTACTGTGAATCCTGAATATTCAAGTCAAGTATGGTCTCAAAAACCAGACTAGACCCCAGATATGTCGGATACCCCTGATCCAACTGGAAAGCGCAGTTACCCCGTGAAAAATTTCTGTTGATAGCTGGCCTCTGTCACAATCTTTCCATGTGATGATAGAAATCAGCCATGGCTTGGAGGTTTCTGGCACCAGAAATATCTGGCCACCACCAGCTCTTTGAGGAAGCCTCCACAAAGGGAGCCCAGCCATGGCTCAAGAAGGCTGTGATACCAGTCAGTATTAGTCAGAGCACCCTGGGGACCTTCCAACTATGTCTAGAATTGAATCTCAGAAGAACTTAAAACCAGAATAATCAAAGATTACACACAGTAATTTTCCTTTACATTGGCATCAGGCCTTGCCTCAGTCTTGACTCCCAACTATCTCTGGTGCCAGAATTTTCAGTTTACCCCATTGCTGTTTTTTTCTAATTTTTTTTTTTTTTTTGCCCCTGTATGCCCTTGTCTAATTTTATTGTGTAATGTGCTTAAGTTTTAAGGAGACCTGTTCTGTGAGCAAAAAGAAGAAGACCAAACGGGAAGAAATGTCAGAGAGAAGAATTCAAGAAGAATATAAGAAACTGGGAAATGTTAGGTAAACCAGACCTGCCTTCCTCAGGAATTTGCCTCTCTAGGCAGAACCATCCTTAATTACTGCCCTCCATGTTGCATTTGGCTCATGTAGCTTATTCTAAAACTATCAACCAGTTTTCTTTACTTTCAGGAAAGGAACTAAATGCAAAAGTGAACCAAAATCAAAGACTTTGTTACAAGCATGGGTGTATTTAATAGTTTATTTATTTCTGATGAAAAAGGAAATAAAAAGAAAGATTCAAGTTTATACAAGGGTTCAAAGGTCATCTTAGTCAAGGTTTGTCCATACTTTTGAACTAAGTCATTAAAGGACCCCCCTTCTCAATTCAGGCACATACTTATTTTGGTGCATAGAAGTTCAGTAAAGGCTTTACCCCATGCCATGAGTTGTCCAGCCCTCACATCTGCCCATAATTGTTATGCATGATGGCAAGAAATGTCTCTTGAAAAGATTATTTCACAAGAGTTTCATTTTTTTAAAAGGGATAATCCGTCATAAAATCCCTTCTTCCCAAAACATTTCTGTGCTGTTCAAATGAAATATTGGCAAGTAAACTGGCTGAATACATTGACTCTGAAACTAGACTGTTGTTCAGACTGTTCCTAAATATGAAATCATACTTAATTTAAATCTATGCTAAATTAAAAATCCTCACGTCACCTCAAGTATCCTCAAGCCACCTTGTGTGCACCATCTGTGCTAATTTACATTGTCATTTGCTCTTAGGCTTTCTACACTTGTAAAAATGCAGAGAATGTGTTTACAGTGGAATGCTAATATGAGCTTTACCTTGTGAACACATTTAATCAGATAATAATGCAAATACAAAACAAGCATTTAGAAATATTTTCCTCCAGGTCTTGCCCATGAATGATGGAATTGCAAATATAGATGGATATTTTTAGCCTGTTTTTTACTGGGTTTAAATGATTCCCAGTTGGGAGCCAAATCTAGAATTATTTAATTCAAACTAATCTTCCTTACTATTTTCCATATTTTTTTTTCTCTTTTTGAAGCCAAGTTCTACTTTCCTACTTCTTCTGGAACTTGTCCTTGGGTTTTCAGACAGACCTTTGATTTAATTCCTAGTTTGTTTGTTGGGGTTTTTTTCTTTTATTTCTAGCTATCCTGAGATGGTGACTGGATTCTTCTTCATCCTGATGACCTTGCTTTGGTTTACTCGTGAGCCTGGCTTTGTACCAGGATGGTCATCTTTTTTTGAGAAGTGAGTAAAATTCCCTAAACAACTGCACAGGAATATGGCTTTGCTTCTGACTATCTACAATAATTTTTGGCCTTAAGACATCATCAGCCGCTTTTAACAAGGTGGTGAAAAATAAAATCTTTATTCAAAAATTAGGATTCTTGCTTTTTAAACTACATCTGTCCATATGGGGCAAGTTCTATCCTTTCTTGCTATACAGAGTGAATTAAATAGAGGAAGTAAATTAAACGCATTTCAAGTGTAAAAGAACAAGAGGGTTGGATTTTGAGCTTAAAACATTTTAGTGCATTCATAGAGAAGTTTCACTGGAATAGATTGAACTATAATTAAAATTAAAATATTTGACAAAAAGTGCTTATCAAGAAAATCTCCATGAAATTAAATAGTACAGAGAATAGTGATTAAGCAAATAATTTTTCTTTTATTTTAAATAATATTTAAACAATTTACATTAGAAGTTACTATAACACACATTGCATATGAAAGAACAAGTGATTTGAACTTAAATTTTCTTTATATTTTTACTGCATAAAATTAACTTCCCAATCTAATTTTGACAAAAAACCAATTTCTAATACTGGGATTTTCTGAAGATTACTAAACTTAGGCACTCCTACTTTTTCAGAAAGAATTTTAGACATTTAATTTCAAATCCATCTACAGTCCATTTCTAAAAGATCACTTGGATTTAGCTTTTCCCTAGAATGTGTTTACTGCTTCTTGCTTCTAGTAAGAACACTATTTTTCTGCATCTCCAAGTTAATAGACTTGTAAACCAAAAGGAATTTATTTTTTTCCTTTTCCCCACCTGAATGTTAAAAATTGTTGAGCAGTGATTGAAGTTGGCTACAAGAGTCAGTTTAATAAATGGGGAAAAAAATCCAATTTGTATCCTTGATATGCAGACATATTTTTCTGGTGGGCTGTTAGTATGACTTCAGATGTGGAAATGAAACTGCACCTGCAAAAATTTGCTTGGAGCTATGTATCTTCTTTAGAAATGTTTCTGTTAATGTGTTTTCATAATAACCTCACTGTTTATTTCCTAGGAAAGGTTACCGGACTGATGCCACTGTCTCTCTATTTCTTGGTTTTCTCCTTTTCCTGATTCCAGCAAAAAAGCCGTGTTTTAGAAAGAGGGAAAAAGGTGAGGAGGATCCAGCAAGAAAGAAAGCTGGTACATTTTCCAGTGTCTTTAATGGCACTTTATGTTTTCTGTAAAGATTTCCAAGAAGAGACTTTTATGTTGGTAAGTCAGGGTTCAGTTTCTCCTCTGACATCAGTCCTTCCTACATCAGATCTCCTTTTCCTTTGCTATAATTCATATTGTCTCATTCATAGGATGACAAATAAGTTTTGCATCTGAGACTGCCACCTATTCTGTGCTAGTGGAATTATTAAAATTTAGGACTGAGCTTTAGGAATGGTTCAGATGGAGTTTTATATTTAAGAACTATAATGCAAAATCAGCTGAAGATAAAGCCCCAGTAAAAAAATTGGTCATCACTTATACATCAGAAATCACTGATAATGTCATAAGATAAACATAAAAGAGGTCAGAAAGTGCCATACAATGTTCCAGTTTTGTCCAACGCTTCTCTCATAGTCTTCTTGATAATAAGAATGATTGTTATTTCACATTCATACCTGGGTAGCACTCTGGTATTGATCAGATTGATGTGCCAGGTTTTCAGCAGTGCTGAAGCACTATTTTTCTATGAAAATAGAATTGTCTGTTAGTCTTATGTAGACATTACAAATGTATATAAATATATATTTTTTATACTGTCATATATTATACAGGTTTTAGGAAAAAAATTACACTCTAACTCCTCCTTCAAGAAAATACTCAGGCATCTAAAAAAATTAATGTTCTCAGGTAAAATCTAGGGGCATAAATGCACTTTATCAGGCTTCATTACTACTTCATAGCCCTTCTTTAATAATATAATCCCATTGTAACACCACCTTTGTAGTCTACAGATATATGTACATACATATGTACAACAGAGCCCACAGTCCCTCAAAAATCTATGAAATGAAGCACAAAGGTTTATAACTATTTACATCAACAGAGTAGATGAGGAAGTCAGGATATTTGAAATTAATATGCTGTGTTTTCTGAGGCCAGGCTAATTAGAGAAATAGGCTATGAACTGCTTCTTTGCCTTTCTCTCAGATAGTTCTCAAGATAACTCCCATGCACATTCAATTATTCCTACAAGTGTGAAAAATGTCAATATCTTAGAAAAAGGGCAGTATAATACTGGTCACACATTTGCTTTATTTGATATAGGAGATAGTGAAAAGTCAACAGACATTAACACACTGGATCCCATCATTACCTGGAAGGACTTCCAGAAGACCATGCCCTGGGAGATTGTAGTGTTGGTTGGAGGAGGTTATGCCTTAGCAGCTGGATGCAAGGTATTGATTTAGATTTTTATCCTCCTTCCTGAAAGAATCATCAGCCTGGACTTTTATCCCTTTGCATGCTCTGTAGTTTGGATTTACGATGTGGATAATTCCAAGTTTGTATTTAACCTAGTGCCTACTCCTTGCACTTAATGGACAGCTCATATCTAGCTAACAAAAAGCTGGTTAGAGCTCAAGTAACGTGTGTAAGCATCCACCATTTCAGGTGCTTCAGAATATCTAGATATTCATGTCATATCTGCAGGACCAGCAGGCACGACACAGGATCTGAGGAACACCTCACACTTTCTCAACTAGCAGCTAACTAGACAGAGGGGGAACATCTCAGCTCTCACTGGATGCTCTTCTTTAGGCAACTGAGTGACACTCCTAGCACTGAATGGACGAATCATACTCTAGGCCCTCCTGACTATATCTACACTGAGTATAATTCATAAATACACATTTAACTCTCCTATAGACTCCTACATGTAGACAACTACAAGTATGCATATTAATTTCAAAATTAATTCTACCCAGAATGTGCAATCCTTCATCACCAATTTTCTATACTCCAGTTCACATGCTGAAGAAAAAGGGAAGATCAGCCTTGGTACATTTTTAATGTTATTAACTGCCAAATGTATTTCTTTCTTACTATTTGTTAGGCGCTGAAGTGAAATCCAGTTTACTGAACAAAAGCAAATACAGAAAGCATTGACCTTAACTTTGTTTATTTGTTGGAGGGATTCTCTGATGTAAACTGCCACAAAGAGAAAAATCTGTTTTACAAACATACCAAGTATTCAGCAATTCTTGTGCCTCTGTCCTTTCCCCAGACCTCTGGCCTCTCTACGTGGATTGGACGTCAAATGCTCTCCCTGAGCAGCCTTCCCTACTGGGCTGTAACCCTGCTGGCTTGCATTTTGGTATCCCTGGTAACAGAGTTTGTTAGTAATCCAGCAACTATAACCATCTTTCTGCCTATTTTATGCAGCATGGTGAGTTAAAACAATGACATTTTAATCTGTTGTTCCTGAGAGGCTTGTGGGAATGTTTCAGGATGTCAGGGTATTGACACTCTGTTCAAAAGAAACTCAGCCCCAGTTCCCAAGCTACTGTCCTGTAGTCTTTGGATTAGGAAAAATAATAAACTTGGGCAGCCAAAACCATATTTTAGCACCAAGGAGTTTATTTAATACCTCTCAGACAAAGTGAAAACTTAGCTCCTGCACTAAGGGGTTCACAAGAAAAGGTGATGATGCAATCAAGAAGATAGGTGAATTTCAGATAAAACTTGAGGTACTTTTATCAAGATTATTTTAAATGTCTTGTTCAAAAAAAGTCAGGATACTGTAGACAAAAGCAGAGGAAAGGGATACTAATTTCATTTTATACTGGAATAGCAGTTACAGAAAACCATCTTATATCTTTTCATTTATGTAATGTGAAGCTTTTCTTACCAAGATATCAGGTCATTAACCATCTTTCCATATCACAGCAAGTTTAGGGGATGTTCCAAAGCATGTGAACGGTTCTGAGATAACATGAAGATACGGTCAGATGAAAATAAGTAATTATGTTTGTGTGTCTTAGGAGTTCAGATTTACCTCTGCTCCATGCAGAAAGAGACTCTCCTAAAGAAAAGTTTATACCAGTAATCTACTTCTAGTAGTCTGAACTGCCATCTTATGGCAGTCTCTCTTTTTTGATTGCAAAAGTAACCTAGAAACACTTCCGTCCCAGAAATGATGTTGGCTTTGCAAATACCCTTCCCTTTTCCTCTGACACAAAACTAGGCCAAATCAGTGTAAATAAAAATGCAAAAATTTCACCACTGTTGAAGACTGCAGCAGCAGAGGAATTCTTTCAGCCCACTGTAAAGAACCTTCCATCATCACTGCCTTCTCATCACACAAGTTTGGGCCATGAACAACTAGTTTTTCTAACCACCATTCAGGAGGACTTTACAGAATGGTCCCAGTATATTCAGCAACTGAAAGAAGTAAGTTCTTGATGTTAGATGAAGACTGAAGTGTTAGATCCACAAGACACAATACTGAATAACACAGAGAGTAAGCGGAAGAACAAAGGTTGCCTAATAGTAGCAAATTCCATCCTGCCTCAGTGTGAAATGTTCCAAGAGAGATCCCTGGACCATGACCAGCTCCAAATTACAGCATTTCTCTAAAAAAAAGAAAAGCAACCAAGCAAAAATAGTTTCACACAAGTTTAGAAACAAGGGAGATGAGACAGAGAGGGTCCCTTCATCCTAGTTGTCAGCAGGGGCTTTTATTGATTAGGTGAAACACCTGTCTTTCTCTCTTCTTTCAGTCAGAAACCCTGCTTATCAACCCTTTATACACTCTGATTCCTGTCACCATGTGTATCTCATTTGCGGTGATGCTGCCAGTGGGTAATCCTCCAAATGCCATTGTCTTCAGTTATGGGCACTGCCAGATTAAAGATATGGTGAGTCTTGAGACTGGGTGTATCCTCCCATGCTTCATGCAACCTCAACACCAGTCAATAACAATAATGATTATGCTGGTGCTAATATAAAATAATATTGATCTGCAGAGCAACTGAGCTGCCAGGTTAAGTACATCCAAAAATCTGCTGTAGAATACACGCGTTTATCATCTTTATTTTTTTAATGAATGTAATGGTCTAAAGAGCTTTAGGAGTATGCAATCCTTTGCATTGACCTGTTAAGACAAGCAAAGAAAGCAAGAGAAATTAGATTATCACACAGCTCCGCAGTAAGTCATGTATCATCTTGCTACGTGTGGTATAACTCCCCGCTCTGATTATCTGATTGAGAAGTTCAAGTGACAAACTGAGCAGTTTTCCAATGAACTTTCCAACAGTCCATCTCTGACTATCACTCTTGAATACTCCCACAGTCTATACCCTGATACGTAGTATTCATTGGGCTTTTTTTGGCTCTATATATCACAATTTACCAGACTAGATATGTCAGTATAGACCCTACTGATTTTTTTTTTTCTATGTTAACTGTTTTTGATTAAGTTGTCATTGTGTTCTGATGCATTTTGCTTTTGCAGGTGAAAGCTGGCCTGGGTGTAAATCTGATTGGCCTGGCTGTTGTCATGGTGGCAATCAACACCTGGGGAATTAGACTCTTCCAGCTGAATTCCTTTCCAGAATGGGCAGCGATCAGTAACATCACTAGCCAAACATAATCTTCAGTTGAAAAAAAAAAAGAAAAAAGAAAAAACAAAAAGTGCAAGACCAAAATGAGTTGGGATGAAATATTAAACCTACATTGCACATATGAAAGAGAGAAGAAAACTTGTGTAAACATAGAACGGGGATCCATAAGAAAACCATGAAGAAAATCCACAGGGATATCTTCTGAAAAAACTTTTCAGTTCTGAAAATCAGTGTGAGTTAAAAGGAGAGATTAGCTTTGCTCTATCTTTGCTTTCCCTGGGATACCATAACTCGGAAAAAAAATCACCTTCGAATTATCTGCCTACAGCTTTTTCATACCTTAGAACAATTATGCAGGACTTGTATACAGGACTCAAATAGTAGAAGACAAGTACACATACACTGGTGTACTCAGCAGTGGGATATTCAGTCCTACCATTGACTTCTACAGTGAATGGAGGGGGAGCCTTACTCCCAAACCCAAGGTTTTATAAGCCTACTTCCTTAAAGGCAAATTATTCTTCTTCTTTTGAGGTGACCCATCACTGTGGTGTACAAATCCATTTTCCCACCTAACCCATATGACCTGGACCAAAATACAACTACCAACTGCCAGCTACAGCTCTTCAAAGGGATAACAGAAACCTCCAGAGAGGAAGGAGAATTCTCCTTGGAAGCAGATTTTTTTTTCCCACATCACCAGTATAAATTTCCAGTATTGCAGTACTTGCAATCTCTGTTTTGAAAGGAAGAGTTTCAGAAACAGAAAGCTTTGTTCAATGCCTTTTTTTATCATTATTGAAGTGGGAGTTCTTTCAGCAGGAAAAGCTATAACCAGCAAAACCTTACCAGGCCAAGACACCCACAGCTCTCCTCTCTCTTTGGCTGCTGTTTCAACATGCAGTTACAATTCCCCTGACAGAGAAAGGACAGACTCATCCAAGATGGCACTTGATGCTGCTCCATGAGTAAGAAGGGAGAGGGCTGAAGTGGAGTGGTGCTGCTGTATCTCCTCATTCACTTAAACATCACATCCACCTGCTCTCTACCAGCCCGGAGAACAGAACTTCAAATGTAGGAAAATCTGACATAGAGCAGATAGCTACCAAACCAAAAGCCCACTCTCTTTATCATCAGCAAAGTGAATGCCCTGCTTTTCTGACTGGATCCCTGTGATATTCAGAAAATTTCATGTATTATGTCCTGGTTTTCATAATTTCTTTAATGTCAATACATTTATGCTGTATATTAGGATGATTGGATCTCATGTAATCACACTTTTCAGACATACACTTTAATGGATGTTTATGCTTTCCACTTATAATCTAGGCTCTCCAGTTGGTAGTGTGAATGTCTATTCTGCAAAAATAAAATGTCAATAAAATAAATTATTCACTACTGCACATTCAAGTGCTCTGTGAGAATATAAATAGGATATATTTCACCTCATAACCCACCAAGCCCTTAGGGAAGTAGTGTTGAGACAGGAAGAGGTGTTGGTTTACTGCTTCTGTCAAAACAGAGAGATCCCACACACTTGTCTTGGAAATAAACAGATACACTAAGAAGTCACAGGATGGCAGAGGGGGAGCAAAGCAGGGAAATCACAAAAGTATGTCTTAGCCCTTCCACCAAAAGCAGCAGGCAGCATCTGTTAGCAAAACAACTGCTATTTCTAGTAAATTTCATTTTGAAAAGCAAAGTGTTTGTGCATCAGTGGCTCAGTGCATCCCCATGCCCTCCTAATCCATGAAACAAAACCTCGGCCTCACTTTTTCAACTCTTCTTAACTCACCAGTTCCTGTGTTCCCTCTCTCCTGAGCCTCCTGCTCTGCTGCACTCCAGCACACAAAGCTCATACCTGCCTCTGGGATCCAGATGCTCCCCACCACTTCAGCTCCACTCCCTTGGTATTTTCCTGATCCCCAGCAAGAGGCTGCTCAATGCAGACCCCAACACGGAGCTCAAAGCAGAGGCACTCTGGCCTCCCCCAGCACAAGCTCCACCCTGAAGCCACTGGAACAGAAGGCAGAGGGGTGCAATGCCTGCTCACCAACATGGGCAGGTTTCTCTGTGAACAAGCACTTCAGTAGCTGGGGCAACACCAACAGTCCTGTCCCCACACACAACAAGCAGAACATCTCTCTGTTCACAGTGCCTAAAGTTACTTTCAACCCTTCTCCCCCCACCAAGAAACTCTTTCTGGCTTGCTTTCTTCCTAAGGCTTTAGCTGCTCTGCACCTTTTACTGTGTGCTCATCTTCTAATCCTTTTCACTTCATGCTTCATCCACCAGCACCTTCAAATTGCCTCTCTGCTCAGCAACAAATCACTTTCTACTCTCCTAATACTAATTTCTCAGCTCTGCTCCGGTCCCATCACACCTTGCTATCCCAGACCTTTCCCAGGGGATATCAACACAGGATATTCTCATTTGCGAGAGGTGAGCAGCTGGCATACCAGTCAGCTTTAGGGAGATCTGGAATTACTCACAAATCAAACAGGGTGTCCTGCAACACTTTTCAGTAATAACAGCAATAACAGTAGGTAAATAGAAACTGCTTGGTGCTGTGTTGCACATCTCAAGCAATATTTCTTCAGAAACATTTCCATGAGGCGCTGGCATAGTTTGTGTCTCACGAGATTGGTGCAGAGAATTTGGAGTGGACTCAGGCAATGAATTTCCCCAACAGACTGTTTTTCCTCTTTTGGTGCTCTTGGCACATCTCCATGTTCACAGCTGCTGGCACTTGTCACTGCTGTGTCCCACCAGGCAGTTGCAGGAAGGCAGTGTGCTGTATTGGTCCTTTTTCCATATCAGATCAGTCAGTGCACGCCCCATGCCCAGATTCCACCCTTAGACATACAAGTATACATAGCAGCAAGCGAAGAAGTTTAGGATTGGGCAAGCTGCATGGCTCATAGTGTGACGGCAATGGCTGCTGATTGCTGTTTGGTTATTTTTTTTTAATTATAAAAGACGGCAAATAGACAAAGAAGTGGGAAATTTCCACAGGTAATTTATAGTGCACTGTCACTTGACTTCAAATTTGCCTCTACCAATAACCAAAGCAGAAGTATTTTCTTAAGAAGGGAGGTAAGCCTGATTTCAGATTAAGCAATTTCCAGATGCTTTCAAGATTCATTTTTCAAGATTCAGCATATACATTGAGCCTTGAAAACAAAAGTTCTGCTTTCAGCCCAGAATTTAAGATTCCTGTCCAAAGAGTAGAACCACATTGACTAGAAGCAGTACACTATTTTTATATTTTTATATTACCTTTCACTAAAATCCTCTTAAGGCTACATATATTTTTTTTCCACAGTGATATAAAACCTGATCAATTTAACTGAAGTAAATTGAGGTGATTTATACTGAGGAATTATTCTGTAGCTAATAATGTTTTATTTCTCAGGGAAAAAAGCAGAGCATGATAGCTGTACCTAATACTTATACATGGGCTGTTCAGTTCTCTCTGGATTGCAGAAAATATGAATAATAGAATTTAAAACAGGCCCTTATATTGTTTTTTTTAAAATATATATGTTGATTAATATCTTATTCCTTAGATAGCATCTTTGGGCCCGAAAGGTGCAGATGATGACAGAGAAAGGCTCTAATCTGTGTAACTACATGTTGCAGCATCCCTGTTTTCACACAGAAAACCAACAGAATGTTCCACTCTAGCATTTGGGCTCACAGGGTAGGAAGGTTACTAGTGTAGTTATGGTTTGAGCCAGTGATTTACAGGACTGAGGTATTTAGGTACTTTTCAGATATATTAAAGGCGAGCCGGAATTGACTTTGGAAAGCAATTTATGAAATTTGTTTTATTTTTCATGAAAATAAAATTGATCATCTGTGATTAATGCATGTTTCAGGTAAAAAAGCAGATAACCTCCACAATTATTTTATGACAGTGCAAATTCAATAAAAATTACCTTGGCTTGGGACTTTTTAAAATAAATGTTAACATATACCACCTAGAAGTTTAACAAATAAAATTATATATCTCTTTCTTTGTCCCTCTGAGGCAAAAATAAATAGAATCGCATAGGAAACTTCCTCTGGATTTTATTAGTAATATACACCCTCCCATATCCACCATCACTTCTTAATATTCAAAGTAATTCTGCATCCCATACAGGATATTGATATTGATTTTTACATACAAATATCAATGCACAATTTTATTTCTGCAATAACCCAGGCTTATGAAATCAACACCTTATTAATTCTGAAAATTCCAATTTCTTTCTTTTCAATGTTTCAGTTTCACCAGGGGTGGAGCACACGTCAGGAGACAAGGGGCTGTGGTTCTGCATAAAACAGAACCACTGAACATTCATGTTACTGAAGTTCTGTGAGGTATATCCACCATCTTTACTTGAATTCTGGTACCCAGAAAGCTAATAATTAGTTTTGCTACTGGAATTTTGTATATTTTCAGTACTGACCCTTTACTGTGTTCAATGGAAGGTGGTCTTAGAGGAGCCTTAGGGCAGCATTTTCCATCACAGGACAATAGTCTCAATGCAGAGTAAATATTTTATAAGTCTGTTAGTAGCTCATATATTCCTTTCCTGCTGTTTTGCCTTGAACCTTCAGCTCCTAGGACATGTCTCAAAAGAATCAATACAAAACAATGAATACAATTGTTTTTAGCAAAGGAGGGAAGATTCCATATTTTAGCTGGCGATCTCAGCTATCCACATAGGCATTTGAATGGGCAGAAATTCACAGGACCCATGTTAAGTGGGAAACTTGCTCCTACACAGCGCATCTATCCTTTGCACCCTGCTGTGACACCACTGCATCCAAAGTACTCTGAGCCCCCAGATGCAAGATCTGCATCAAGCAGTCATTATTTGTGCATACCCTCTGCCCTCTGAAAGATAAGGTTAAACTTTAGTATCACCTAGGATAACCTCAGGTGAGGTAAAATGTTATATGGTAGTTGCGAAGTTGACAGGAACTGTGTTATAATGTTTTCCAGATTTGCAGCTTACTATCTGGGCAACAAAAACCCAGCTTGAGC